TGATGTTTAAGAGTCATAAAATAATTGTTCTTACCAGGAATACAAGATAGTTCCAACAACAGATGTGAGTTTACTGTTTTCTTGTTTTTGCTTTGCCAGGCCAAAGTCAGCTACAATTCACAAGACAAAGAAATATTTTAATATATATATTCACAAACATAGCATTGTTCCTTAATTCTTGATTTGCCTCACACTAACAAATCACAATAAAAAGTTTTTCTTTTTGTATCTCATTAAAACATCCCATATGCCAATATTCCATACACACCATTCTTGGTTTTATCATGCCATGCAATATGGCATGGTAAGGTTTATCATTTTAAAATATTTAAAATAATCCTTACACATTACTTATCAAATTCACCATTCCACTTTTCCAACTATCCTTTATAATTTTCAAGTAATGGGATGAATCCAACAATTTCAGCATAATTACCTCTTAAGGCTGAAAGAAAAATAAAATAAGCCTGAATAACTGACAGGAAGGTCTAAATGAATGCTATTAAAGGGCATCTGATTGTACACAAAGTCATACAAAGTGTAAACACAGTTAACAACAACAACAAGCGTGCCATCAGGGTTCCACGGCATATTCAATCAAATACTTATGAACGACCACGTATGCATCACCTACCATGTTCAGAATCATCTAAAGACATTTAACCATGAAAAAAGGATCATGATTTTAGAAGAGTACACCAACTAGTATTAACCCTGGCTGGTGCTTTTGAAAGCACCATCAGATATTTCTATTTTTAAAATATTTCAACAACTTAGGTCAAAGTGGTAAGACCAGATATTCTTCATCTACTCATGGTACAGATTTACCACCATTTCAAAAAGATTAATTACCAGGATCAAACAAAGGGACAACGTTGAACCAGGTCCAGAATTCAAATCACTAATTCGAATAGATGTGATGTTCATAATATATCACTGTATAAAGTATGCCAAATGCTTATAGAATCTCACCACAATGAACTTGAACAAAATATTTGATTATTTATACCACCATGCCATTGAGGTTGAAAATATACCATAGATGTTGGACAGGACAAGATATGACAAAATAATAATTTATAAATTTTATCAAGGGCTCATGACAGAGGGGGCAGTGGGGAGGGAGGGGGGAAAATGAGGACCTGATGCCAGGGGCTTAAGTGGAGAGCAAATGTTTTGAGAATGATGAGGGTAATGAATGTA